CCTCTCTCTAGTTCTTCCTATTTTGGTGTCTGGTCAAAGATCACACTCCTGGATGACTGAATTTCACAAAAAAAATCCAAGAACTGGGTCTATTTTGATCCAATGATCAGTGCTTTAGGCCTTTACTCCTCCATGCAGTCGGCTGATGTAGGACTGCATGGGTCAGCTCCAAGAATCTTTAAAAAAATGCTCTGATACCAATTAGCAAATAACATAAACAAAAGAAAGGGGAAAAGGTAGAAGGAAAAGTTATTGAGAGGAGAAGAAGATAAGAGAAAGGGAAGAGAATCCATAATGATCCAGCAGCCTCTCCCATTAATTTTTATACTTAAGAAATGAAAGACGTATGATGTTAAATATGCCCTTAATGGGGTGGCAACTATCAACACACTTAAACATCAACTTAACTCAGTCCTAAACTAATGGGCCTTGGGCCCAATAGCAAAAAAAATAAAAGGGTTTTAGTGTTCAGTCCACCCCAACAAATCTTAGCTTTACCGTACAGTTGGAGTAGGTGCCAGCTCGGAATTGATGCCAATACACGGGCGGGTATTGGTGTTATAGGTGGAGCTGTTTTAAATTTTGAATTGTTGTACGTCTGCTGTGGAATTCAGAATTCTGAGGTGGAGTGCAGTCTAAAAATCACAAAAATAATAAATGACAGCAAATCCTCAACAAGTACCAAAGTGCAGTAGAAAACAAACTACTGAGTTTTGTTTATGTTGCATGTATCCTGAGAGTTCATTCTTGAAGTTTGAAACTGAATCATATTGGAATTCCCATGCATTTTGTTGATGTTTCTTTTGATCAGCTATTTTCTGTTTCTTTGATCTACTCAATGCTTATCAGGAAGCAATCCTATATTTTCTACTAAATTTTGACGTGCCCCATCTATTGTTTTACCAGGAGCAATTCCTCTTTTGCTATGATGCCATACTTGATGAATTGGAGGAGCTTGTTTCGGAGTCCAATCACCAGTGAAAGGAACTCAAACTTGTAAACCATTCATAACTCTTCATGGACTTCCATTATTGTGCCATATCTACTTGTCCTGTCCCTGTCTCTCCATGCTTTTGAGATAGGCATTTTGGGATGAGACGCTGATGCAGTTATTATGTTTACAGCTCAGACTGCTGACTGATGCACGTTAACAAGAACCATTCAGTCACTGTTCAGTAGAGAAACCTGCACAGCCCTCGAATCTGGGACATTCACAGTTGGAATCCCACTTCTGCATTTGGTTCATGGGGGTTGTTACCTTGTAAAACTGAAATGTAGCTGGTACTAAGAAATCAATCTTTTTCCTTAACCTTTTTTTGAAGAGTCTTGTGCATTTTACCTTCTTGTGAACCAGTGGGCTGAAAAGCAGGCTAATTTGGTTTTCCTTTGGAGATTGGACCAAGCGTCACCTTGTTTCACAATGTATTCCAAATTTTCAATTGTGCTTTAGACTAGCCCCATATGTAAGTTACGCTCTGCAAAAGAGGAATTTATTGATCGATCTGCCAAAATTTTTTCCTTAAGTTGAGCATATGCCAAGTGGTTATGCAACACCTTGGGGCATGAAATGAGCCTAAGGCCCATTACTTATGTGATTAGTTAAGAAATTGTCATGTGATCTTAGTCAAAAATGGGTATAGATCTGGGTTTGGAGCACTTATTCTCTTAAGAAAATAATAATTATCAATTAAAGATAAAGTTGTAAACCAAATTTGATTTGAATCAGCTCCTAATTATATTAGGAGAGTGCTCTATATAAGGAACTAAGAGAGGGGCAAATTCACCAGTTTTCTCCAATCTCAGCTCTCAGCTCTCCTATGTTCTCCCTTGCCTCCCAGAAACCCTAATTCAACCCAACTTTGATAGGTGATGATTTCCATTAGTCATCTACTGTTTTATTTTGCAAGAAAAAACAATAGAGGATATCAGGTTCACACACCCACATCAATCCAAGCAATTGGGAACCAATTTTGTTGAGGCAGATTTTGGGATTGATATTGGGCGTGAACTACCATTCTAGGAGATGCACATTTTAGTATCTGTATTAAATATAATCAGTTTTAATTTGGGTTTCAAATCTGGTCCAGTCCAGTGCAAGATGAATCCCAAATTTTCAAATTTCAAAATCACTGGGAAATTGGTTCCTGTGTTGGGATAAAAAAAAATTTTAATTCAACTAGCCACTAAACCTAGTTTGGCCATGTGAAATCTGGTTTCTAACCCTTCCAACAGTGATATTAGAGCATTATGTTCAGTTCTTAGACTAAACCAAACCATATTTGAAACAAATATCAAATCAACATGAACTAATCTAGTCGATTTGACCTAGTTAACATATGAATTGAGAATTTGGTTCATAGTTTGGGGCCAAAGATCTGAAATTTAATCTTTATATTTTTCTGATATTATTTGAAATAATTTTATGCTGAATTCTTGAATTCTTAGGCCGAAAGTCTGATGGAGATCGAATTCTTTATTGGTGGCAAGTTTAATATACACCATGCAATTTTGATATTCATGATCTGTAATTATTTAACTTTTTTATTTTATTTTCAAGAAGAATGTTTTAGGGTTTCTTTTTGTGAAGTAAGCACTAGAAATTAGGATTTTCTAAATTTATTTACATTGGAGAACAAGTTGGAGATCACAAAGGAAGATGGAGTACAAGATTGATATGGAGATGGCAGATCAATGGATTCCTGTAGATTGTCCGGATTAGATTCAGATCATCACACTATCATCCATTGTTATTTCATTCCATTGTTTTGTCAATATTTATTGATTTGATTATGAATCATACTTGAGATTTTCCAGAGTAGTCTTTTTTAATTGATGCATGTTTTGGACACCAAACCCTAGGCTGACTTGACCTAATTTTGGTCCACCCTATATGGGCCAAAACTAGGGTTCTTTGAAGACTGTTAACAACCCCTTAGATCACTAATTAAGTAATCAATTTTGGACCTAAGCCAAGGGTTTGGTGGGCCATTGCCTAGACCAATTCGGCCCACACTTGTAAAATCTAGTTGGGTTTAAATTTAAAAAAGATAAGCGCATTTCAGCATAGACTGTTATATGGTCTGAATTGCTTTTTGCAGTTGGGCTCATATACCAAGTCAAATTTTATTGGATAAATGGGTTCAATAGTGGGCTGATAATGTGTTAATCCAAATGGATCTGAGTTTGAAAAGCTTTAAGTTGATTCTTGATCAATTGTGTGTGATGTGTTGTGTATGCAATTTGTACACAGTCCATAAGTGCTTGGCCCATGCAAAGACTTTATGTGGCTTTTTTCGCCCATCATGGTTGAATACACATCATGGCCATGATGTCCATGAACCTTTGAATGATCTCCCACTAAATGAGTTATTTTTTTTGTTTTCTCTCCAAAGAATGAACCCTTGTGGGAACCCTAACCCAATTAGGGCCCATTTGAATTTGACTTTATGAAGGTCAATGGGAGCTACTTTGGTAAGACCTAATACCTGGTCTAGGGACTGATATTATTGTTCTCTCATTAATGATATAAGTGCTAAGATGATAGGGAATTTCATAAAATGACATCTCTAAAGGTCTTTTGTCATTAGCATGAAAATGGAATGCATTGGTAAATAGAGATGCACCATAAAATTGGGCTATCTGTTTCACTGAGATGATCAGTTGAATTGCTTCATTAGATGATAAGGGTGTCACAGACTAGTAGGAGTGGTCTATCCTAAAATGGAAGACTCTTTCATAATACCTTGGAGCTTCCTATATGATGGGTCAACACTTATCGATTAGAAAGGTTTAATGTAAAATGGCTATAAACCTTGTCTAATGGAGGCCAAAGGGGATTATGCAACTGAAACAGTTGGCTTCATGCACCTATGTGATTCCCCACATTTTCAGAGACATGAATAATGTCTACATCCTTGAGATAGAGGGAAATCTCAAAAATTAAAAAATGGAAATTGAATGTAAATAAAAGTTTATTCTATGGCATATAACATGAAACGATAATTAGGTAGTAGACTAATTACCTGTGCAATTTGTTAGAAACGGCACACAAACCACTCTTTAAGTTTGTAGATGATTACAAACTCAAAGGACCTAAGTACGTAAATTGATTTACAACCTTAACTTGGTGCTCAAATCCGATAAATTGGTGAAAAAGCCTTTGAGGCTAAGTACATAGATTGGATTCGCAACCTTAACCTAGGGCTAATCAGAAAGCGCTAAAACATACTGGTGGAAGAGCCTCTGAGGATAAAAAGAAGGAATATCAAAAAATAGAGGAGAATAACTCTTTTGCCCATTGTTACACCATCACCTCACTGGACAACTCTATGCATGGACAATTTGATAAAATAGCATCTTATAAAGAAATTCTAAAGTGTAAAGGCCATGTATGAGGAGTATAATTATTCTGCATGTTAAAAGTTCCTCAAACTGTTGATGACCACTTAGATATCTAAGAACCAGCCGATTCAAGACTATGTCATGAAGATGATAGGGTTTATAAATGAATTAGAGTCTCTTGGCTCCAAATTAGATGATGAACAAAAATTGATATCATCTTAAACTTCTTGCCACATCCTTTAGTCAATTTGTTCTCAACTACAACATGAACAAGCTACAAACTAACTTGCAAGATCTCGGTAATATGTTGCATTAGGTTGATGAATTGATTATAAAGGATAAGCAGTCGTCATGCTTATTGAAGGGGGCAAATCTGGCAAGAAGAAATGTAAGGGCAAGAAGAGGCCTCAAAAGATTATTAGCAAACCGAAGAAGCAAATTTTGCAAGCAGACCAAGTACTAGAGGAGAAATTGTCTTCAGTATATAGAATTCCTTAAGGAGAAAAAGAAAAAGGTATTTTCAAAACTCAAGTCATAGAAACCGATATGTTGGTCACTTCTACCCCCTAGTGTACTGATTTTGGGGCTTCTACTCATGCATGTAACATTCTATAGGGATTCCAAGAAAGCAAAAGGTTGAGTGATGAAGAGGCCGTTCTCTACATGGGTACATTTGTAACTATTGCAACTACAGCTATAGGACCAATAGATTTAGTTTTTAGAGAAATGGTTATGACCCTAAAAGATTGTTTTTATGTTCTACAATGCAAGAGAAATTTGATTTCAGTTTCATTATGGAAGAATGGTTATTCCCTTTTATTTAGTAATAAAATTACAATTAAATCGAACAACAAGTTTCTTACTCATTAAAAACTCAAGAATGAACTCTATGTACTTCACCCTTCTCTAGAAACATATGTAGCTGGAACAACTTTAGAACACATCCCCATAAAAAAAACAAGAGAAATTGTTAATCCCACATGCATGTGGCATTACTAATTTGGTTGTAAAAACATAAAACAAGAAAAATTATTAATTCCATATGCATGTGGCATTACTAATTTGGCTACATAAACATTGAACGGGTCACAAGATTGGTAAAGTGTGATCCTCTAGATTTGCTTGCAATAAAAGATCTACCAACTTGTAAATCTTTGCTTCAAGAATATATGACCAAGAGGCCATTTATAGGTAAGCCTAAAAGAAGTGTATGCACACTTAACCTTATACATACAGATGTATATGGTCCATTGAATGTTAGATACATAACCAACATTCATGTTTTATAACATTTACGGATGACTATTCTCGCTATGGCTGTGTACCTAATGAGGCATAAGTTCAAAAAATTTAGACATGAAGTCAAGAAACAATTGGGAAGACAAATCAACACATTCTGATCAGATCGAGGATGTGAATATTTCTTTGATGGATTTATTAGGGACTACCTAATAGGCAACGGGATTATATCACAAATGTCTCATCCTAGTACACCACAATTAATTAGTGTTTCAAAGAGAAAAAATTGAATTTTATTGTATATGGTCTGATCACTCCTCGTCCACTCAGAATCACCCATATCCTTTTGGGGACATGCAATAGAGAGTACGATCTACATGTGGAAATGGGTTTCAGCCAAGATGGAATTCAAAACTAACCATTGTCTATTTTTAGGTTACCTTAAGAACTCTATTGAGTACCACTTCTATGACCCAAGAGAATAAAAGATTTTTGTTATTCGAAATGCCAACTTCTTAGAAGATGACTATATCTTAAGCAATCATCATCTAGAAGTTATTCTTGATGAGGAGAGCTTACGGGTAGTGACAGATAACCCGCAAGTTCCAGATATCAATACCTAGTCTAAAAGATCTACCTGGGTATCTAAAACCCTTGTGCATTTCGGTTATGATCAAGAAAGTTACTTGATGAAAGCCATGGATAGTGAGGAAGATACATTGACTTATATGGAAGTTGTGTTAGATGTAGACTCCTTAAAAGGGTAGGTGCCATGAAAGCTAAGATTGACTTAATAAATACCAACAGAGTTTGGACTCTAGTAAATCCACCCCCTAGGGGTGAAATAAATCGGTTGTAAGTGAATATACAAGAGGAGGAAGGGCCCTAATGAAAAAGTTGAGACCTATAAATCTTAACTTGTGAAAAAATGTTACATTTATGA